CCAACTGTCTACTACTCTCCCCCCCCACATACTCACACACGCACTCACATGCAGTCACACACGCATACTCACACGCACACTCACACTCACACACTCAAGCACTCATGCATACTCACACGCACTCCCATGCACACGCACACACGCACTCACACTCACGCATACTCACGCACACTCATGCGCACACATGCAATCTCACACACACATGCACTCACACACCCGCACTCATACACTCATGCATATTCACACACATGCACTCACGTGCACACACGCACACATGCACACACATTGACACGTACTCACACGTACATGTATGCACACATGCATACACAGACATGCACTCACAACACACACACACACTCACACACATGCACTCACACACACACACTCACATGCACACACACTCACACGGAGTCACACACGCATACTCACATGCACACTCACTCACATACTCACACAGAGTCACACACGCATACTCACATGCACACTCACACTCACATACTCACGCATACTCACGCACACTCATGCGCACACATGCAATCTCACACACACATGCACTCACACACCCGCACTCACACACTCATGCATACTCACACACATGCACTCATGTGCACACATGCACACATGCACACACACATTGACACGTACTCACACGCACGTGTATGCACACATGCATACACAGACATGCACTCACACGCACACACATGCACACACGCATACTCACACACACATATACACACTTTTCTGGTAGAGACTTCTAATCAGGGACATCATTCAATGTGAATGCAAAGTAGCAGCTCCATACGTAAAGTGTGAAGGATGGCGACCTTCTCACACTGAAGTGTGTGACTGACGCTTCCTGCAGAAGCAGGGAGAACTGTGACAGGCTCTGATGACGGTGACACCACAAGGCTGACATTGTGGACTCGCTGGGGCATCCGTAGGGCTTCTAGAAAGCCCCACGAATACCACTTTTTGCCCTCATTTGAACCGAGAATAAATTCTGAGAAAGATCTAGGAGCCTGACGCACGGAGACCAAAATACCAGTTTCGCGACTGATAAAAGTGTCTGGAGACCGTGGCATAGGTGTGAGGGCTGCACGAGCAGACTAGCGCTCCCTGAAATAAGCCGACTCCCCCAAACTGTGGGCCTCCTCTGCCAGGCTTACCACACAGTGGAAAGAGCCCAGAAGGGAACTCTGCAGCCGAGCAGCTTCTGAGGAGGTCTTCTCCCAGCCTGAGATCAGCTCGCTGGCTCCCGCCGAGGGGACGGAGGAAGCGATGGGGCCGGAAGCCAGGAGGACTTCTCCCAGAAAACCAACATGAAGCCTGGGGAGTGAGTATCCGCCCCACAGCTCCCTCAAGTCCTTCTCTGCCCGCAGAGGACACTGCTGTCAACCCGGCTGCGTGATGACACTGCAATGGGGGCGCTTATGGGACCACCATCAAGCGGGGCGTTCAGAGTGCTGCGGGGGGCTGCGTCCTCCCCATCTCCCCTCGCGCTCCTCCCTTCCCGAGCCTTTGAATCGCACTGGGATGGATTGAGGTCGACAAACCTGAACGTGTTTTGGTTTGAGGTTTGGCAAAGTGTTCCACAAATGTTTTGTGTTGTGCGAAACCAAAAAACATTGGCCGACCAGTTTCCTCCCTAATTTTTAAGCCCATGTGTTTTTAAAGGAAATGTAATCCGTATGTTTGGGGTACATTTCTGTGCAACTCGTTAAGCCATGCTCATCCGTATGAGTCATCTGATATCTAAAATGCATGGGGAAAATCACAGATTTATAAGAACTCTGTTGGCACGAGAAGGGCAGCGGATGAGGCACTGGTTGGAAGGTGATGGGCTGGGCTCCGATGCTGGCACAGAACCTCCAGTTCCCAGCAGATTTATGGATAATCCTTTATATCCTCACCCATCAATCTTTCCCATCCGCAAAATGGCATGAACAGTTCTTGCCCTCATCAGATCCTGGAGGCAGTTAGTGAGGATTAAAGTGTGATTATTAGGTCATTTTGAGCATTTTAAAGAGAAAATACAGGGGCCACCGTACTTGCCCCAACACGTTTATTTTAATCTAGCTTCCCAGAATGCTGGGGGATGAAAATGGCGTCTACCTTTAATGATTCATCCTTGCTCCATTGTGAGACAGGTGCCTTCACTGTCATTATATCACAGTTTCACCTGCTAGGGAAGTTCAGCCCGACTTCCTGTCATGGGGACAGTGTATAAAGAGAAAGGCAGAGAATGTACAGGTGGTTTTATTTGGAAAAAAAGGAGGTTCTGGGTACTTGAGTAATACCTTTAAAGTAAATGAAGGGTTTTTAGAGGAAGAGTCTACTCTCCATATCTGTTGGAGATAAAATAAGTCAAGTTTATACTGTTCGCATGATAGAGCATGACGTGCACAGGCTTCAAAGTCAGGTGGACTTGGGTTTTAATCCTTGTCTCTGAGCCTCTTTCTCTATTTGTAAAATATAGGTTGTTTGGAAGATTAGAAAGAATATAAGATCTGGAACACAGTAAGTGTTCAATCACAGATAACTTCTATCATTACTAATATTACTTAAAATAACCTGTAGATTTTAGTGGTATATAATGAAGAATTTCTATGGTATCAGAAAAATAAAGAAAGCATGGAAATGGGCTAATGACAACCCATAGTTCTGCTTTCCTGGATTTCTTACAAAGAGCAGTTCGCCTGGCAGGATAGACATTCGCCAGTCTCAGGGCAGACAAAGGCCAAGGCCAGAGATGTGTCAAGGTCCCTCCTGGCCCAGGGAAGAGACAGGAGGACCTCAGGACTTGAACTGAGATGTCATCACAACTTCCTAACCAGAGGCAGATGCTTCAAGATACATGGTCTTACTCCCAAGATTGAAATATAGCCCCACTGCATAGCCCTATGCTGATCAAAACAACCTATCGATACCAATTTTCCATTCTAGGTCGTGCCTCTGAAAAACGGGGCTCCCGTGGGAGAGAAAAGCAAAGGGGGAAAAAAAGAGAGAAAAAGAAAACAAGCCTTGGAGTGTCAAGAAAAAAAAACACTAAATGCCACTGGAGAGATAGAGGAAAGAAAAAGTAGTTGAATAACCAAAATCAGGAGGGTTGGCCCCTGCATCTAGAGCGGACATGCTTAATTTCTGGTCATAGACCTTTTTTGAGATTCTGAAGAAAGCTATAGACCTCTCCCTAGAAAAAACACACACCTGCTCATCTACATGCAATTTTACTTACAATATCTGAGAACTCATCCACCTAAGTGAAAGATCTTAAATATCCTAGAGGCTTCTTCCTGAAAGGCCAGCATCTACTTTGAGCTCTTAATCACTAACCATAAGCCCAGAGTGCCTGAAAAGGAGGCGACAGGAAACAGCCCACATTCTGTGACCTAGATATGGAATATAAACAATTTGGAGGAAGAGGACTGTCCATCTGAAAGGAAGAAATAGGTATTTGTTCTTCACTGGCTAAATTTTGAAAACAAAGGCCTCTGTCTCATTTTAAACAATCACTGAACAGGAAAGCATTTGGCCTGGAGTCCATATGCCTGAGTTCTAGGGTAGCCATACCACCAACTAGCTGCTTGACCTAGAACATGTCACTCAATTTCATCATCTGCAAGCCAGAAGTCTAAGTAGATTTAATTTTAATCAATAGATGTGACTTTCAAAAATTCCTAGATAAATTAAATTTTATAGACATCTAGATGTATTTTAAATATACAATAAGAGTTTATAAAGAAGTGCTTTCATGAGTCTTTTTTTTTAGAGGAAATGATCACTACGACTGATTTTTAGCATAAATCTGGGCTCCAATATAATTGGGCTACATAGTTCACGAAGTGGTTCTAAATGTAATACTAGATAGTTTACCTGAAAACTCTTGCACAGAAAATAGCAAAGATAATTCTCGACATTCCGTGTCACTCAGATGTGAAGGAAAGCCCCCAAATTAGGAAAATGTCTGAACATTAAATAGTTGTCACACACACTTTATGAGATCCATGCGCCACATTTACTGTTTCTGTAGGATGATATAAAATGCATTCTCTGATTGAATAACCTTAAGTAGATCTGCTTTTTCTGGCAAATTTACTCCCCTTCTAACTCTCCATGGATAACATATTTTAATTTTAGATAGGAAGGATTTAGAGAGATGAAAGAAGAATTAACTAGAAAAACCCCACAGTCTCTAAAGCCATTTACAACAGGAGCAAATAGTCCTGTAAATTTCAGCAATTCCTGAGAGTTTCACTATATCGGCCTAATCATAATGATGATATTAGGTCATCAAGAGAGTTGGTGCTCCATAAACTCTCTTTATTAAAGCAGAAAACATCTAATATATTTTGGAAATATTTCCCAGAAAAGTTGTTAACTTTTTAAACAAAGTTATAGCTCTTAAAGGTAATAATTTTCTGAAAATTTTTATTTGTCCACGACTCCTTATTTTCCGATAATGAAAAACAAACGAGGTATCACCGCAGGTGTTGTAGCCACATTGAGATGCTTCTCAGAAAAAAAAAAAAGTGGCAATGTTTCGATGATAATAAATCAGCATAAAATTTTTTTTAAGTGCTTGATCCAAATAATCGATTGCTTTGCTCATTTCACTTAAGTCGTGCTCTTCCCGCCAGTAAAGATTGTTCGTTCAGTGACCTGAAATGGTCTTATCAAAGACACAAAAAGCCGCTAGACTTTTGTCAAGTTTACACCCAAAGGAAAATCTCCAAGTATGATGTAGAGGGGAAAGCACCATGAGGTGTCTGACCTGGTGATTTAGGGTGTGTTAACAAAGGATTCGGATAATCCAGCCTTCACCGAATAGCTTTTTCACTCTCGGATCAGCTATCCATGTCACTTTTCCTGAGGCAGCACAGTGACATAGCATGCGGGTGTTTTTCAAAAAACAGGAGCCAAAAGCCACCAATTGGGGTGTGGGAGGAATAATGTCACATAGAAAAGAAATGTCACTGAGTCTCTTTCCCAATTATCCTTACCTGTTTCTTCCAGAATCTCTGAATCCTTTAGCAAAAGGGTTTCGGTCAATTTTTAATCTGGTGATCTGGAAACAAACAAAAAAGCATGAATTGTATTTATATTAACGGACTGCTTTTTGGTTGTGCCTAGAAAATTAACAAAAACCAGTCTGTTAAAAATATCTATTATTTTTATTTAATTTCCTTTTAGTTGGAGATTTCAAGTGAAGTTAATATAGGGCTTGGACCTGGCACACAGATGTCTCACCCACCTGACCCACTTTCTCCCTAAAAACCAAGGTTTTCTCAGTAAGACTCTGTAAACTCCTCTGCTCACCCTTCTCGCCCTAAAATCGTGACAAATCACTTGCCTAGACAGAGCCATCGAAATGGAAAACCGGGCCCATGGTACACGACACACAGGAGACACTTGAAAAGCGCTCATTGAATGAATGAGTGAATGAATGAGTGAGCGAGAGAGTGATGAATGAATGAATGGATTCGGTCAGTCCAGTCAGGTAGAATCAGACCGCCAGACAGCCTGCCTCCGCCCAAAAGATCCAAATAATTGACCGTTTTGCCCATTTCACTTAAGTTATGCCTTTCCTGCCACTAAGAATTGTTAATTCAGTGACCTGAAATAGCCTTATAAAAGACACAAAACGTAGCTAGACTTCTGTCAAGTTTGCACCCAGAGGAAAATCTACAAACGTGTGACTGGATGGGGCAGGACACCGTGCATCTCATTCCGCCTCCGAGGCTCATAAGCAAAGGAGAAGAAACAGGCAGGTTCCTAAGGCTGAGCAAACAATGGCGTGACCCAGGCTGGGCAGGTCCCGAGAAGCCACCTGGTTCAGCCTCCACTCAGCGCATGAGCCTTTCTCCGCTGCATCCTCTCCCGGTCCCCTCGTTCTCTGCGGTGGTTGTGTATATTATCCTCATGCCTCTAGACTAGAACAAGCCTGACCAACAAATCCCATATGTGCTCTAACGTTCCGCTTTCAGCCTTGGTCATGGGACGCATTTTGATACCTTCGCGTCTGAACCAGATGTTAATGACTCACTACGTTCAAGCGACAGAGAACAGGGAAGGGGGCTAGAGAGCTCAGGAAAGGAGAGAGGCCCTCGATGGAAGGCCATTCTACAGACAAGAGAACCTCAAGCCCACCTTCCCATCTCTGCTCATCGCAGAACTCGTCCAAGGACGGCTAAGGTTGTTTCCTGTGTTGCAAATTGTCCCAAGTCCTTCTGTCAGAGCAGAATGTCCCGAAGCCACAGTCTTTAAAATGCGATGTGAGATTCTGACGAACAGACTCGGACTTGAAAGTACCCACGTTATTTCTTTCCCCCTAAACATTCCTTGCCTCTAGAATGGCAAACTAATAACGTAGCACTGAAATGCAGCAAAAGCAATTTTACATCTATTTTATAGACCAGAGCGGAGCCTGAAGCTTTGGCTTTCTGAAGTCCACTGTCTGCCATGTGAGTACTGAACTGAGTTTAAAGACTGTCATTGCGTTCTGTTTTTGACTTAAAATCAGTTCTTTCTTCCTCCATAATCCACAGCAATAAACCACACACCATATTTTCTTTTCAAGTTGGGCTTATAATATTTTATTTTCTCTTTCAAGTTGGCTTATCCTGTCCGACTCATTTATGATAGCGGTTTCTGATATATGATTGTGCTGCCGTGTTTGGGGGGCTTCCACAGACCCCTGTAAATATAACAACATTCCATTTCATGGGCCTGGGAGAAATGGCTGAAAACCTGTTTCCCACAATTCACTGGCTCCCAGGCTGAAGGGCCTATATGGAGATTTAATAGATAACTGCCACCAAATGTTAGGGAAAACGACACCTCTATATTTGTTTCAAAGCTTTTAATGTGAGATTTAGAGAACTTTATAAAGATGTTGTTGTTCTACTCATTAGTGATTTATTATCGAGTGCCTTTTTGTGCAAAGCAATGTGACAGCACAGGTGACAGAGTCACGTACAGTCACAGTATATGGCTGTGTATTGTCCTTCCCACCCAACCCCAGAAGCTCATAATCTAGCAGAGAAATGCAGACATATGCACAAATAATTACAGTGTAAAACAGAAAGCGATAAAGTTTGCAACAAGGCAGGGTCCCGGGAGAGCAGAGGCAGTGGGATTACTCCACGTTGAAAGGCTCTGAGGTGTCACCTTAGAGGTAGCATGTGAGCCAGGCCTTGAAGAATGTGAGGGTTTTTAATGAAAAAAAAAAATGCAATCAAGGGAGAAAAGAACAAGGGAAACGTTTCATGAGAAAGCTCCTACGCAAGCCAGAGCATCAAAGTGGGAAAGAATGAAACACGTTCAGGACACCTAGAGGAGGCCATCTGACCAGAGCGCGGGGCATGGGAAGAGGGGCAGGGAGAGAGACGACGGGGGGCTGGCCCGCGGCCACGTCACGGAAGCCTGCGTTTCCCTGCTGAGGCGCTTAGGTAGGCTATAGGCAGAAGAGAGCAATTTTAGCTTTTAAACCAAATTATGATCCCAGTTAATGCTTGTGCTGACAACTTTGGCTTTGTCCGCAAACACCAAGGGAAGCAAGGACAGAAACCAATGTCGTCTCATCCTCACTAGGCCCTAGTTTCTAATAGTCTCATGGTACAGAGAGCCAGCCTGGTAGACCCAGCACATGACAGCTGGGCCATAGAGCCTGCTGCCCTGTGGAAGACAGGAAGGTGATAAAAGTGAATTCTCAATAGGTAGAAAAAGAAGTAAAAAACCCTCCCCTTCTATCTGGCAGAGTATGAGAAATGAGGAGACAGACAAAGGGCAAGCAAGCCGTTAGGCTTATGCCTTAGCTCCCCCTGCAAACCAAAATCCAGGGGTCGGGGTGGGGAGACCCCGGAAACTGGCAGAATAACCGCCATACACACTTGGGGTGGCTGCATCAAAGGAAAAATGCCACCTGGTCCGATGAAGCAACAAGAGGGCTGAGCGGCTTCTCATGGCCCTTCTGTGGTGGGTCAGGGACTCAGGGGTCCTCACATGCCGTGATGAAGGCAGCATGACCCTAACCCAGAGGTCTACAGGCGAGGCAGGAGCCAAACGGAGGATCTGGACACGACCTGAGGCGAGGCCAAGCCAACCAGGGAGGCCCAGGAGGTCCTGACTGAGGCAAGAACACGAAGCACGAGTTCAGCAACTTCCTGTCAATACAGCACATCAACCGAGGGACCCGAAGGCCGGACCAGACCGGACCCCACACAGCAGAGATCCTCACGCAGGGCGAGACCCAGAGAAGCACAGGGACCCACCAGCAACCATGACGAGGACTCAGAAACCCCACCGCCTCCACCCCTGCACACACACCTCACATCTAGAAGCCATCTGGAACAGTGGGGGAGGGGAAGGAAATCTGGGGGCAAAAAACAAAAACCAAACATTATTGTACCCAAAATAAATCAAGTTACGTGAAGGGATATTTAACCCAAAATAGAACTGGAAAGTTTATGTTTTCCTACCCCCAGCCCCAATACAGAGGTCAAAGCTTTTTAGGAAAATCAGCTACAGAAAATTATATGTATGATACATATATGCTATTTAAAGTATATTATATACAATATATATTAGGTACATTCATATATGGCATATATGTGTGTGTGTGTGTGTGTGTGTGTGTGCATATATGCCTTACTGTTAAGTTGTACACCTGAAACTTACTAGATTTTGTTAATCAATATCACCATAATACATACATACATACATACATACATACATACATACATACATACATACATACAACACAGGCACAGAAACAAAACAAACAAGAATAGTAAATATTTAATGAATCCTCGTCCTCAGCCACGGTCTAAGCGTTATCTCCTGAGAGAGGTCTTCCTTGATCATCCCTCCAAAATAGCATACTTCTGCTTCTCTCTTTCTAACTGCACTCTCTTTAACCATCTTTGCTCTTAACCCGGTTGGTGACTATTCATTTGTTTTGTTGTTTGCATATTTACTATTTGTCTCTCCCCCTGGACTCCAGGTAGGAACCATATCTATTTTACATACCATTTTATTAAGCAGAACCTAACGTGACATGCTGTTCATGCTCAGTAAATATTTGATCAGTGAGTGAATGAAGATGTGTGAAAATGGGATCGCCAGTCCCCAAGCCACAACACACCTAAGAGAATAGAGACCAAACGCTCCCCTCGAGCCTATTCGCTTTCACTGCAGACGATCCAGGTCAAAGTCTTAAATGTCCTCCCAGTCAGAACAAGGTCCGTCAGTAACTTCCTGTGCAGCCAAAGCTATTCTACAGCAGTCATGTTCAAACTGGGTCCAATGACGATGAGACATGGAAAACCCAGAGGTTATGGAAGCATTTTTTTTTTTTTTTTTACTGATTTTATTTCCCTAACCTTATACTGATGTATGTAGTCTGCGTTATTGAAGCCTGTGGCACATGAGGTGGTGGTTGCTGGGCAGCCACCGTTGATTTTAATCATTTCACTGAGTTTTTTTTTGCCTAGTAACACAGAGGAAGTTCATAAATGAGGTATAGCTTACAATGCACGGCGAAGGCATAAATAGCACAGCCGACAAAGAAAACTAAATCCTGAGTATGACTTTATAGGACCGAGGCTGAAAGAGCCTGCCCTATTAACACTCTCAGTTACTGGTTTTTTTAACCATAGTGCTTGAAGGGTGTTCCATTGGGATTTCAAACAAAAACAAAAACCATAGCCTGTATGAAAAAAAAATTGCACCGATTTGATCGGAAAGTTAGAGCAAAACTGACTCAATAGTTTTAGGATATAATGAGTGGCTCAGAAATCTGCTGAATTTGCTCACACGAACCTGGCCATGGTAGCAGACTTCCTATCTGGTTCATGTCGCCAGTTTCCACTGAGAAACAAGACTGTGTTACCTGAGGAGAACAGAGCTATGTCTTTTTGAAATCTACTTTACTGTTTGGGGTTGGGGT